TTTTCAGCAATATTTAGCATTTTGAAATCCGGCAGAATCTCTCACGTTATTTTGCTTAAATTTGTCCTTTATCTTGACTTAAAGCTTTCGTGACTGCAGGAATTTATATTCTTAATATATAAATATTATTTTTCTATCTACGTGGCTTTACTGAAAGGCCCAAAGAATGTCCTTAATATTAACTACGATTAACTAAGCTATATGATTACAGCTGTGTAAACACTTTTTGTGAGCGTAGTGCTGGTGCCAAAATTTAATTGCAATGAAAATGTTTGAATATTTTTTTTACCTCTTGTGCTTCTCGACAATTCGTAATACCTTCGTTATTGTAATTGAATCGAGGAATTCAATCAAACCTGGGATAATGTAAAGTTTTAGCTATGGTTAGCAACATAATTCAATGTTAAAGCAAGATTAAAATCGTCTCAAGTAGAATGAAATGTCTTTTTCTACTTCCGCAGAATTTTTCGCCTTATTTTGGATACATTTGTCCTTAATATTAATTCAGCAATATGATTTGAGCTATTTAAACACTTATGAGAGCGTAATTCACATGCTGAAATTTAATTGAACATCAAATGTTCAATAATTTTTGCACATCTTGTGGTACCGACTTCAAACTATAATTGTTTACATATTTTAATGGAAGCGAGGAAATCCCTCAAACCTTGGATAAGGTCAAGTTTTAGCTATTCCTAGCAACAAAAGTCACTGTTAAAGGAGCAATGAAAGTCTCAAGTGGAATGAAATATCTTTGTGTACCAAATTTTGCAACACTATTTTGGACTGAGGCCAAATGGATAAATATATATATATTAATGTCTTGTTTAAAATGCAATTGTTGATGGCTATAGAAAATGAAAAGAAATGCATTGGTTGGCAAGACTCGAATTTGGAAATTGTAATTATTTTACGTAGCCAATTTGGTAGGGGAGAGCGCAGTAAGTTGTATAATGTGGTATATAATATGGTTTAATATATGGCGAGACATTTTTCCTTTTTTTACGTTCTCGTCCCAGTGTCGTTAACTTAATTCAGACTTTAATGTAAATTCTGGTAATTTGTATACAGTAAACTTACATCTCGCCACTGCGAGATGTGAACTGTGATAAACAACAAGACTATAACCCTCAACGCCTATGAACAAATCACCTGGACTTAGAATGTGGCCGATCTGTTTGGACCTCGAAAGCCAAGCAGTATGGAAAAACGGCCTTGACAACCAGCACGGCGTGTGGAGACCCTCATCCAGCAGTGGATTGGCAAAAGGTCTCTATGCTCCTATGGGCATTGTGCGGCGCTCACCTCCACCAGTGGAAATTCCATATTCCCATGGCAGGGACCGTCTCTAACAACCACTGACGACTGCACACAAAATAAAACTTATTTTACGAGCCTGCAGCGAAGACAATAATGGCTTGCCTATGGCAACCGTTGACCCTACAATATAAATGAAAGCATGTGCATTGCTATACGACATTCCAGCGAAATGACATTTAGAACAAAGCGAGGCGTATAGTGCATTTAATTGTCATATTTGCGATCATTAGGTACTGTACTGTATGGAAGATGGCAAGATACATCGATTGCAGTGCTATAACAATGCGCGCATAGGTACTGTACTGTATGGAAGATGGCAAGATACATCGATTGCAGTGCTATAACAATGCGCGCATATGCACAACAGTGTATGTATCGTGACAGCGTATTCAACGTGGACAAATTTTGCACTTTAATTTAAAGTATTTATGTCAACAATCATAATTCGAACATTTTGCCAATAGAAATATGGATAGCAGGGCATTTATTGAAAAAAAAACATTACCATGGTTCTCACCTACTCGCTTAACTTCAGCTTAAGCATGTACCACCCCTCAGCGCGTCGGAACGGGTGTCAGAAAGCAAATCATAATGCTAGACATTACGATAATAACTATGTCATTATTTCAGAAATAGTAGTAATTATTATTAATATTGACTTAAAGTTTTCGTGACTGCAGGAATTCATATTCTTTAGGTCTTTCGGTAAAGCCACGTAGATAGAAAAAAATAAAAATATAACAATATCACGACGTTTCGATCACAACGCAAGCAATCGTCTTCAAATCACGAATTTTACGAAGTGTTGAATCGTACCTGGATCTTGTGTTTGCTCATGATTTTAGAAATTTTTGTGGGCACACACTAAATTGATTTTGCCAAGACAAAGGTACTCTGCAAACCCATTGGCTATCAACAAAGATCCGTTCATGAAGCCATACAGATATATAAACAGACACAATTTCAACCGAGAAGATGGGTACAAACTGAGAAATCATTGGAAGGACGTTATTAGCCAGTTTAGGTCATAACTGGCTGTGATGTTCCTATCCTACCTAGCAGTTATATTCGACTCTCCGAGTTACATTCACTAACACAGTCACCGTCAGCTGTGTTAGTAAATGGCCGCTTGCCATTCTTTTCCACCCCCATGTGGCCACTGTGCTCTTACATTGACATGCTAATCCCTCACAATACAATGGTCACCCCCCACAGCTCCGTAGTACCTCTCCCATATTGGCATTAGCTGCCCCGCCCATCTCTAAACCTTTGTAAACAGCTCTTTGATTGGTGTAGATCTACTGCAGGTTACGGAGACCTCTCCTACATTAACATTAGCTGCCCCGCCCATCTCTAAACCTTTATAAACAGCCTGCCTCGGCAGATTTCCCCCTCTTTTTTCACCTGAAGACGATTGCTTGTTGCGATCGAAACGTCGTGATATTGTTATTATTTTGATTATTGTTTCTATCTACGTGGCTTTACCGAAAGACCCAAAGAATATATATTATTAATATTGTAAGTGTTGGTCTCGCACCAAGAAAGAGGGAAACACAATGGCCGCTCTGGCGCCATGACGAGCGGCGATGTAAGTGCGCCTTTCATTGGTCACAGGCTCCCCAAACAACAGCTCTCATTGGACAAGACTTTTTCCTGAGAAGCCGGGAGCGACCATTCACGATTTTAAAAAAGGGGGGGGGGCAGAATATCGAATATCAATTACAAAAATAACGTGAAAAACACGAAGAGGCGCAGGATCGACGGGACCTGGACCAGTTCTTGAAATGAAATATTGAATTTTCATGCGAGACGAGTCTGTGTAAAAAGTTTCAACTCATTAGGCTTCGTAGAACCGAAGGTATTAAGCGTCAAATATTTGAAATAATATAAACAGCCAACAAGGCAAGTTCAATACAAGTGTGCAGTAATAAAAACAGTCCCAGACCACATTAAGACAGTCCCTCAATAAAAATTATACGTGAACATTTGACTCTCAATACATTATATTCTTGGTTCTTTCGGTAAAGTCACGTAGAAGGGAAACAATAAAATAATACAAATATAAAACAATAAAATTCTCACGACGTTTTGACTGCAACACAAGCAATCATCATCAGCAATCATCATCAGGTGATTGCTTGTGTTGCAGTCGAAACGTCGTGAAAATTTTATTGTTTTATATTTTTATTATTTTATTGTTTCCTTTCTACGTGACTTTACCGAAAGAACCAAGAATATGAATCCCTGCAGTCACAAAAACTTTAAATCAAAATTTAAATCTCAATACATTAAGGATTACATTTACAACTTACATTGGCAAATGTGGCAACATCTAGTACCCATCTTCTGCTTCAAAATATGTTTAAAGGAAGATTTATGATGTTAAGTGAGAAAACAAGGTTGTTCCAAAACGTTGGTGTCACCTATTCCAATTCTTGTTCTTGGTATAGTTAAAAGGCAATTAGATGGACGCGTTAGGTTTCTTGAATTTGACCGTGGAATGAATCCATTATCTACGTATATCACAGATTTGCCAATAAGGATGTTATGGATGAACATGGCACAATGTAGATTTATTCTTGCATCAAGTGATGATGGATTGGATTTTAAATCGAAGTGACAATGGTGGGTCCTGTGTGGTACATCCAGTGCAAATCAAAGAGCAGAATGATAAAGTGGGTTTGTGATTTATTAGCGGATTTGTTAGCAGCATCACTGTCGTCAAACAAAGGTAGAATCATAGCTTCAACAATGTGCAGGCGTAATCGTTTGAAAAAACAATGTTTCTATATAAAAATCATATCTTTGATATTATTTTTTGAGAGGACAAATATGGGGTCCGAATGTAAGTTTTTAATCAATTAGTAAACCCACGTATATGAAGCACTCAATGGTGTTGTTTATGATATCAGTACGAGGTGAAGATAATTAAACTGGATTTTTGTTTGAGGAAAATACAATGATATTCACTTTTTCAGGATTTAAGAGCAATTTTAGTGTTGATAATAATTCATGTTGAATTAAATTAAAATCTTGATGGAGATTTTGTTTGACTTCGTTAGGAGCTTTACCTGATACTAGCATGAGCGTCATCAGCTCAGTCCAGTTTGTTAGATATTTCCCATGCGCACAATGAACCGTGAAAAAGTAGTTTAACTCGTGCTTATTCAGCCCCTGCTGGACAAGATACCCACGAAATGCTGCCAGTTTGGGTAGCAAGAAGCAAAGCTGCATCTGCTCTGTCGCTCCGGCATCATTTCCCGAACATCTGAGTAGCACAGTTGGCTACATATGGTGCGAAAGAAGTTAAAAATACATACCTCATGTAAAGCAGAAAAAAATTTCACCCACCTCCACTTTGGGCTTTCAATGGCCTCATCCCATCACCTCTTTCAATGTTGACTGCATATATTTTTTTGGGGGGTGCTCTTGAGTAACCTGGTTCTGCACAACAGCCACATGACTAATGGATTGCCTGATGCAGGCCTGCTAAGTGTGAAATACAGGTTTGTTTACATTCATTGTGTTTCAAAATACGTTGCAATTGCCATCGATCTGCAGCGCCTCGTATCTTCATTTCTAATGTACAACACACGTCTAACCGGCTAAAGAAAATGTATTTCCAATACTTGTCCCCGAGCATTTTCATTTTCAAAATTCAACAACAGTGAGACCGATTCATTTCAAAGGCACTTTTATTAGAATTGTTCAATCGTTATACTACCAATACATGCGAGCATACGTAAGCAACATCAGAAGTTTAAATTGGGGAGATTCTTTAACACAGAAATTATCAATTTAAGCGGATATAGGTGTATGGTGCTGCTTCTAGGTTACCTCAGCCTAAAATAATTACCCAACAGTGTGTGCAGATGAGCATGTAAAAGATGGTAAACCCTAAAGTGACCATACTGATCCACGTTTATGATGTCTGCGACAAATACATCACATTTTCTCAACATAGAAATTCGCAATTCATTCATATTTGTAGTACGAGTATCTCTCGATTACCTGTAGCAGTAAAAACACGCAAAAGTCTATTTATGGTATTTTTCCAATGAAAATTTTAACTATAATAATTACAATAATATCAGTTCTACCTAACATTCTAGCAAAGCCAGCAGTATGATCAACTGTTATTTAGCTTATGGCTGGACTCTTAAAATTTGGTTTAACTTATGGACGAATCTTTAAAAAACTTTGGGAATAATGTTCTTAGAAGGAATATATGTTGACAGGACTTCATTATTCCTTTCCTTAGCTCTTTGGTGCGAAAAAAGTAGATCAATGCATTTGACATGGGTATAGCAAGGATGCCGAACTGTAAAAAGCACCTTATGTTAAGGACTGTGGGAGTTTTGAGATCTTTGAAGTATCGAGGAATTATTATGGAACCCAAAGTACAAATGAAAAATATCAAGAGCGCCAAGAAGTGTGTCAGCAAAGTGTTCAAACCATGCTTGGTAATCTCAGCTGATCGTTTAATTCGACACTCAATGAAAATCCTTAAGTAGCTGTAGCTAATAAAAATAAGCGGTAATAAAAACAAGAGCACCATTTGCACCGTCCCATATGCATTATTAACCTTGATGTCCGATTCAGCCAATACAACGACGCCCATGTGATCACATAATATCCCCTGGATTTTCCGATTGTCATCGCTGAAGTTTAGCCGCGTGACGAGCAGCGGGAGTATCATGCAAGCCGACGTGGAAATTACCCAAATCAGCACCAAGACTCCGAGCGTCTTTTTGGCTGTGACAATGGTGTGGTAGCGCAGCGGGTGACAGATGGCCACATAACGGTCAAAAGCCATGACCGATAATATCAGCGACTCAAGATTGCCAAACACGTGAACGGAAAATATCTGCACGAGGCAAGACTCGTACAGGATTTTGGTGTCGCCCGTCAGCAGGATTTGCAGCTGCTTGGGCACGGAGCTTGTGCAGGCGACGATGTCGGCCACCGCCATGTTTCCCAGGAACAAGTACATGGGCTTGTGCAGCTCCGGGCACACGAGCACCGCCACGAAGACCAGCAGGTTGGCTACAACTGTGATCGCATAGAGCAGCAGGCAGAGGCCAAAGATGACCATCTGCACTGAGTACGAGGCTTGGAACGTGGAGAGGTAGAACGCCGAGCTGCCGTTCTCCATTGCCGACGCCTAATGACAACTGGTGATGGAATTATATATATTAGAAAGCGCAGATAGCAGAGATGTTTAAAATTAAAGCTATGGGTTTTTGTATACAATACTTTCAGGTTGCGCATGTTGGGTTAAAGTGTGGGTACTCCTGCCCATTAGTTTGGAAGAGTAGGCCAAATGCCCTCTAGAGTTAAAAGACATCACGGTATACAAGCCTTGTTCAGGTAATGAAGGCAAATTGGAATAAAAACGATTAAATAAAGTGGGGGACGAGAGCAAGCAAAGGATTGGGGTGCTCACGGAAAACTCAATCATTACTGATAAGCAACGGAGCAAGACATGGATGAGAAACAAAGCAAGGAGGTGTTTGCTCGGTATCACAGCGAGATAGAGGAACGCTTGGACTGAATAACGCTTGGAGGAGGGGTCTGTGAGTCCATGGTCCCTTTCTACAGACGTCATGTTCACTGAAAAGATGGATTGATGCAAATTGGCTCAGGTGTAAGAGCTAAATTAATTTCGACATCAGACTGTTAGATTTGAAAACGGCTTGCAAAGTCTTTCATTCAGCAGTGCATGGATCATTACTAATGATGAGGATTATGCCTAGTAAGGGTGTGTGTACCTCAATTGTATTCAAGTCAATTCACTCACCGTCAGGATTTTGATATGTAGTCTCATGCAGACACTTTGCCAATCCAAATGGTTTTGTCTTCTACTTGCTAAGGCCTCACGGCGTTGAATTTCACAAACCAAAAACATGAAGCGCTTATTCAAATCTGATGACATGGACAATAATGCATTGAATATGCATTTCTCAAAGTGAGTTTCTGGCATTTTCCATAATTAAGCATATTACGAATATTTTTTATAAGTAATATGGTAAATTTCACGTAAAATCAGACGTTGTTTTTGATACGCATTTCCTAGCCATGACACCGCATTTTATTGCAACGTAAAAGCGCAAACTTAATTCCAGAATCTGTAACGTTTAGCTTAGAAGGAGGCGAGCGAGTGTGACACAGAGTGCTAATGAAACACCCGCCCAAGCCCCAGTGTATAAACTCACCGTGGTGCCTAGATGTCCGCAGCAGAGAGCTCAGTGCGCCGCGCGAGAACCCCTCTTTTATACGTTTGGGTATCACGTGTTCAATAACGCTCTCGTGGTTCCGTGGTCACGTGTCTCTCATTACGAACGTTCACATGGAGGCGTTGTGGCCAGGCGACTTCAAATTACAAGGGAATACTCTGCAGTCAGGCGTGGTGGCGCTCAGCCAATTAGGATGAAAATCACTGCGGTTGCCACGGATATTTAACACGATCGAAGGTTGATTAATTAGGCGCACTCTTAGCCGCTGTTTGCATTCCACTGCTGGATGAGGGCCTTTTCCACACCTTGTGAGTCACCGTGGAGTTATTTGACCTCGCTGACCAGCTGGTCAGCACGGGTTGTGGGAGGGCAGAGAGTTTAGGCGTTGAAGCAGACGATTGTACAACCTTGTCTTTTTCTGCACTGCGCTCTGCAGGCAAGGTAGCCCCACCGCAGCCCTTCGCATCTGTTTTGTGTGCGGTGATCACCCATCCAAGCACTATCCCAAGCTCACCACTGCTTCGTTCGTTTCCAAGAAGTTATGAGTTGGATGCATTCTCGGTTAATTGGTCATAGGCACATTGGGAGTGATTTTGGGGTTTAATCAATGTTTCCAAAATTCAGAATGACTACAGCTATGATTAATGACTGGTTCACACAAATGACCGAATCTGTTTATAAAGTTTTACTTTACATGTTGCGAGTGGCTGTTAAATTCAGCAAAGGGACGATCGTGGTATTTGGACGCGTTACAATCTGGAAAACCAAGCCATTCAGTGATAATTCACTTTGCATTCATATGCAACCAAATGCGTTACCCTGAAATGATATTGATCATAAATCATAATTGTAAAAGAAAGTATTTTTGTTGTAAAATTTTGCTTTGTAAAATTGAGTAATCATTACAACCCTTTGTCAATTCAGGGCTGGATGAAATCCTCTTCATGCCACGCAAGTCATGGTGGTTTTTAACCATACTTCACCATTTAAATAAAAAAATCACCTGGAATGCACGGGATCTTTTCCAATTCTGGGAAAAGTTAAGCAGGTGTCAGCTTGGAATGTGATGTGATTGTTAATTGTGAAACTCCTTTCTCGTCCCCGTCAAGGTCCCTACCGTGGCTTTCGAAGAGAATTCAGTACAGAAATTGTGGACTCCCATCTCTTTTATCTGTATGGGTTAGAGTGTTGCTCCTTCTGTTGGATATCGAGCCTTTTCCAAAATTAAGATTAACAATAATATTTGCTGTTGTATATAACTTATTAAGTGAAAAAATAATTAATAAAACACGTAAGTCAGCCGCAGCAGATAAACCAGATGTCGATCATAAACAGGCCATAAATAAATAAAGAATTAATAAAACTCTCGAGGCGAGGATGTTAACAGCTATCTGCGAAGATCTCCAGATGAACAAGAGTTTGATGTACCCCCAAAAAAAGGGTCTCTCAGAGATCAGATCCGCCAAGCCAGACACGAGGACGCCAACGGGTTAAACCATTTTTCTCATTTGGCAATAAAACAACGGTTAAAATTAAAACTGCAATAACCGGAATAAGCTAAAGGTCCTCGCGCTCACTCCAATTAAGACCAGGCCACCAGATACATCAGTGAAGTATTATCCAATTATTAATTCTCTATCAAATGATTGTCACCTTTAATACTTTTACTGTTAAATCACAAGATTGGGTACAGAAATACCGATTCACGTCAAAGGTTATCGAGAAGGAATGAGGCGAGCAAGCAAACTTAGGAATAAGTAACCAATATTCCAAGAAACCCCGACCACCTTCGTCTCTCCCCGCAGCACGTGATAAGACACAGAATGACGAAAAAAAATAAACTAAGTAAGAGCCAAGGTAACGGGGTGGATCAAACTGGTTGAATATAGAATCGAAATTATATTTGAGCGATGTCAACTCAAAGTATAGAGAGAAAGAGATCCCGTCCGCCTTTGTATCTCCCACAGGGCACGAGGAAGGAATTTCACACCCTAGTGAGGAAAGCTTGTTGTTACGAAGAGGGTCGCCCCCTCCTCCCCCCGGGGTTGTATAACACATGGCTTGACGAACACACACACGAACACACACACACGAATGCACACACACACAGACCACGCCCCCCCCCCTCCTCTTCACTGCGCAGAGCGGGGAATGTTTTTGAATATAACGGCTGAGCGTCAAGTCAGTCAAGACCAGCAGCGATTCAAGACATCGACAAGACACGAGCAGTCGCAGCGAGCGACTGGCTCCAAGGAGCGCGATCCTCGCTGAGTAGCGAGGATCGCTGAGTCGCGATGTATCAACGAGCGTAGTTCAGAGCCGAAAGGCAAAGTATCACTCCAAACTTTATTCCAACATCAAGTGCCAGCCATCCAGCAGCGGAAACGCAGAGCGTCCAGCGCCAACAAACACAAGAGTTTCTGCAATGAGCGGCCAAGCGTTGTGCCGACTCAGCTACTAAGCAGTGAAGCCGGCTGTCAACGAATCAGCTGAGAGCGCTCGGGCATCTCAACAGAAAGAGCGTGCAGCAGCCATCCAGCAGCGGAAAAGGCTTTTGCCAGCCGCCAACAAAGTATCAGCATCTCCATAGAGAGAGCGCGTGCGATGTGGCATCTTCAAGGAGAAAGAGAGCCTGCTTTCAGCAACCAGCGACCAAGCGTGTGCCGACTCGACTCATTCAGCAGAAGAAAAAGCTTGGCCAGCCGCCAAGCAAGAGCGCGCAGCTACTATAGCAGTGGAGAGAACTGCTGTCAGTGAACCAGCACGGGCGCATTCGCGCATCTTCAAGGAGAGGCAGCGCTCGCTACTTTGCGCTACCGTGCGACACCAGCGCTGAGAGCGTTCGGGCAGCACCAGGAGAGGGCCGTGGGCCCGCACTCAACATCCATCATCGCGCGACGACGGCGAGCGTCGTGCCAACTCTTCCAGCCAGCAGTGGACCGAAACTGTGGGAGCTTGTTCGTATGCCCCACCCCCTCCCCCACACTCTCCCCCTCACACCCCCCACCGCTCCGCAGTGAACAAACATATTTTTGACAAGGAATGTCAACCTAGGCGTTTGCGTAACGCAAGGAAATCAACAACCCTCGCACATTAACCCACACAAGAAGATTCATGATATGTGCGTCAAAAATTAGCTGATAACGGAAAACATTGCCATCAAGAATCGTGAATACGGTCACTTAGGAGTATTTTAGTCGGTCGTCTTTAATGGCATAATCTTGTTTATGAATCAATGAATGAACATCGCCCGTGGGACTGTGCTGACGATTTCAAGCATAATAATTTTGCATATCAGAATGTGTTAAAGATTGGATACGAATCAATGATTGAGTGCAGTATTGTGTAACAATTTCAAGTATACGATTTTGCATATTATAGAGTTAAGGGTTTGATAGAATAGTTATGCATGTTTAATCTCTCTCTCAACAACCGATTGATTGTGTTACGTGTCGGGAATTAACCACAGGTGCCGTTATCGAGGTGAAACAACGCAATCGTGATGGTTACCATGTTAATGCTGTGTTGAAATTCCGAGATTGAGAGTTCTTATATTGTCAAAAAAATTAAAGTTTTGCTAGAAAATAAAATTGATTAAAGTAGAAGGTTGTGTGTGATTCTTTCCGTGATTCTGCATAATAATTGATCTGCGATTGAGATCTGAACTCTGGGGACCTATCATAAGCACACTAATCCATAATATAATCAATAAACGTTAAATCAAAGATAATCGTATCCTTATTGATAATACGGAGTTAAACAACGAAGCCGTGTTCTCTCTCATTCACGTTCACAACACCTAATCACCTGCATAACTTACGATTAATTGCGTTATTCCAATTAATAACCAACCCTCGTCACCGAGGCTGGACCCTAATCATCATAACGACCTGGATTATCATAACCACAGCCACTCGCATAAATCAATACGATTATATCTCGAATTAGCATAATTAATGCGCATAATTACACTAATTAACAATTTCATTTGAGTTTCATTATTTTCATCCAATTTTCATAACCTACATATACAACACTTCGCACGTGTGATTTATCTCTGAGTGATCCAGTTTCCTCCCACATGCACTTTAATATCTCGATTGAACCATGAATGAAGCCAGGATCTCAGTCTCGTATAAACTGGGCACTCCAGCGGCGGTATTAGGTTACTACAGCCCCATCTCACTTTTTAACAGGGACTATAAACTCCTCTCCAAGATCCTCACAAATTTAATGGAAAGGGCCTTTCCGATGACCATTGGCGAAGCGCAGACGGGACTACTCAGTAACAGAGACTTGGCCAACAACGCGAAGGGCCTGGTCAACAGTAGAAATACCCACAAATGACAATCTAGCTGTCTTTGCCCTTACCGGCCGAGATGGTGAAAAGGCTTTTGACAGGGTGGAGAGGACCTTGCTATTCCAGGTTATGGATAAATGTGGCATCCCTTCTTCATTCACTGACATATACAGACTATGACATGCTAACCCATCAGATATGCTGGTCATGAATGGCTTGGCATCCCCAATTTGTCAGCTAAAGCAGAGCCGTAAGGCAAGGTTTCCCCCTTCCCCCCACTATTATTTACCCTGGCCTTGGAGCCCTTCAATGTGGGTATCCAGAACAGATCTCAGGGGTAAATTGTGGAACAGTGGAGAATACAATTTACCTGTACGCCGATGATGGCCTCATCACCTTTAAGGATCCGGAGACTTCAATCCCCGCCATTCTGGCTCTGGTGGGGGGAGGTACGGGAGAGTGTCGGGGTACAAGCAAAACGCAGCTAAATTGGAACAAACGCCCCTGTTCCCTACCTCCCTGAAAACCCCAGAGGGTTTGATGCCCCTTTGAAGTGGTGCCCAATCCACATAAAATGCCTGGGAGTGACAATCCCCTCTTTTCTAACATCGCTCTTCAAGTAGAATGTCCCCTCCTTGCTATAGGAAAGTGTAACCTTACTCGTGCCCCTTTCTCTCCATAGCAGAGCACATCTGGTGAAGATGCTGGCTCTCCCAAAACCTTTACACCACTTACGAACGATTCCTTCCCGGATCCCAAGACCCTTCTTTAAAAAAAAAAAAACTCCACTCACATATCTCCTTTAACTGGAACCATGAACTCGCCCGGATAGATTTTTTCACTCCCTTACCCTCCTTGCGAAGGCAGGTGGCATGGCTCTCCCTGACCTGTTAAAATACCGTAACGCAGTCACCCTCCAGAACCTGAAACAACAAAAAACGGGATCAGTAAAAAGTGGGAGGAGGGGTCTGTGAGTCCATGGTCCCTTTCTAAGAATTCCCTCTCATCGACCAAAGATAGACACCTGGGCGTAAAATCGGTGTGGACAGTGGGGACAAAAGTATTCCCCTCCCTAAGCCCCTTCATAGATTGTCCCTGCTATGGGATAACTCTCCGTTGAAAATTGTGGAAAGGAAAACAGTAGGGCAAGCTGGAAAGTGGCAGGACTGGAAAAAGTTGGTGACCTGTCCGAAGAAGACAACTTGTGATCCTTTGGAACAGCTACAAGCAAGATACAACATTCCCCAGACACATTTATTTAGTAACCTACAGATAAAGGACGTCATCACCAAAAGCCCAGATGAGAACTTTGCCCATTCTGTATGCATGATA